AAGTTTATCTGAAAGAGTTACGAATCAGGTCAAATTAGAGCAATTGGATTGGGGTCATACATATTTGTGATGCAAATCCCCATGTAAATAAAACATTATTTGGCAAATTAATAGCTTACTACATTATTTGCCCTATCAGAAACCAATAATCATTTGTATAATTGAATCTTTATCTTCTGTGATTTTTTTCTAGGGGAATAATTAGGGGTAGAAATCCATTAGCTCGTTAGCTACAAGGGGCATTCAATGACTAATGCCCCTGACCCACTTCCACTTCTTTGATCTAGCTGTAATTTTGCATGTGCAATTATTTACAGCTCTATAGATTAAGTGGCAAATTACAGCTCTGAACTAATTGTATTTTCAGATTTACAGGTGTTTAAACTGAGTCTGAAATGGAGCCTATTGTGTCGAGCAGTAATCCTTTTTATTATTATTTAAAAGGTCGCTCACCACGGGAGATGAAAGTAACTTATAATTATGATGCTCCATCATATATCTTTGTTAAACATTTTAGCTTTGGTCTATGAAGACAAAGAGCTTATCAGGAATGACAAAAACTTTATTTTTATATTACTGTTGAAAGTCAGTGTCGGCCAGCGCCAGCCCTGAAACATCACTGCTCTAGAGGTGACCTGCATGGAGGAATGGGCCAAAATACCAGCTGCAGTGTGTGCAAACCTGGTAAAGACTTACAAGAAACATTTGACCTCTGTCATTGTCCACAAAGTTTATGTTACAAAGTCCTGAGTTTAGTTATTGACCAAATACTTATTTCCCACCATAATTTACAAATAAATTATTTAAAAATCCTACAATCTGATTTCCTGGAATTTTTTTCTCATTTTGTCTCTCATAGTTGAAGTGTACCTATGATGAAAAATACAGACCTCTTTCATTATTCTAAGTAGGAGAACTTGAACAATCAGTAGCTGACTGAATACTTTTGGCCCCATTGTATTTTAGATGGTTTCCGTGGGGACAGCCAACTCTGTTGAAAATATTGAGAATGTTAACTTGCACCCAGATTGAAGTGACAATGAGTGATGACCTTGAGCCTGAAACACATCTGCTCAGAGCGTTTTTCATTGATTCCTGGGAAAAATTCTTTATATTGGAAACATTTCAATGTTTTTCTCCCTCGTGTTTTAGCAAGAGAATCTGAGTATTGGTGAGAGCAAAGATAAGCTGTATGATGAGCTGAGGAGAGGCGTCTGGTATTGAAAGATCTACATTGTGAATTTGAATCAGATATTAATCTTTTTCTGATTTTTGATCCCATAATTATTCCTTTTGAAATAAAAGCTCTTCACAGTTTTGGTAACACAATGAGAGTTTGATCCTTAAGAAACGTGAGCCCAACATGTCTGATGACAAAGACTCCACTTTAAGCGGGTGGATGCCTTTAGAGCACATTGGAATACATTAGGCAGCCTCCTCTGTGCATGACCTGCTGGATGTTGTGAAAACAAGCAGTCCTGACAGTTACTCCAACATTCAGAGGGTTCTTATCTCATCCCTTACTCTGCCTTTAAGCAGTGTTGCATGTGAAAGAGAATTTTCACATCTGAATATCATCAACAAGTACAGATCCTGTCTATTTGACTCTGGCCTTTCATCTCCAATGCAGATCCTTTTGTCTAAGTTCATAAATGCCTTTGACCTCTAAATCCATCTGATGACTTGTGGATGCAAACAGCCAAACCAGGGAAATAGTAGTCCCGCTACATCCATATCTTCTGCTGTTTCTGGGATAGAGGAAGACATTTTGAAGATAGCGAGGATGATGATGTCGACATTCTGTTCGATAGCCAGAAGCTTCAGTGCTTTCAGATAGTAACTCCTGGTGCTTAGAAAGCAGATATTTGCACATTTAGTTTTCAGAGCTTGAAATGCAGTCATGTTGTAAGAAAATGACAAGCTTTATTAATTATGCTGTCCTTTCTTTTATTTTTAGTTGAAATTTAAATCCATTTCACATTATCTCTCTATCCATCTTTGTTGCATTTGCGAGATTGTTAAGGAAAAATATGTTTAAAAATGTAAGGACCGACTGCTGCTGCCATTTTTTTTTTTTAAGTTGAACAAAGCAAATTGAAATATTGTAAACGACATTAAATTAAAATAAATTACAATCACCATTAATTCACACAACTTTTCTCTTAGAATTTTTTATTAATTTAAGTTCAAATGATAAATAAACTCTTTAACAGAATTTATGATAGGCCTCCATAATAATTTTAGTTTTTAAGGTCATCCCTAAAAATTGGTCATTTGTTTAGTTTATTTCTACCATGCATCCTTGCAATTAGACTGCTCCCATAAATTCTTCCTTATTACATTAATATTTGCTTAAGATTACACATTACTTACAAACGGATTATCTGTTTTTGCTTTTCTCCCTAATATAGAAATGTTTCATTAAACATCTAGTCGCTGCTCATGTGGCAGATATATCTAAAATTACTTTAATTACTTATAAATATAATAAAAGAATTCATCTGTATAAATGAGTAATAAGCAATAATTTACTTTTTTGTTAGAAGAACTGAAGAAAGGCCATCTGAAGAATTGAAGGTATAGATTTAAATTGAATATGGTGTGAGTCACTTACCATGTATATGTTTTTTTTTTCTTGTTTACTTCCATGTACATCCATGTGAAAATCTTCGAGTTGTGGCTTAGCCCCACCCTGTTCATAAAATAAAATGCAAACTCATGCCTCATTCCTCTACCTGCTTTATGTTTATTACTGGCTCAAAGGCTTCAGTAATTGACAAACCTGCAACATAAATATGTACATTATTTATTGCATCTCAAGTGCAAATGTACACATCGGTCCTCTCGAGTGTGGAGAGATACAATATGTGCATTTATAACATACTGTTGTACAAGGGACAAAGACTGAGGTTCCTCTGAGGATCCTTGGGCTCCTGGCTTTCAGTGAATGCTCCAAAATAAAAGTTACAAATTTCAAACAAAGTGTACCTAATGTTGAATTCAGTAACAAAGTATTAGTTTTAGGCCAAAGTTAAATTGTTGTGTGTAACATATAGTAGAGAATTTTCGAGAATTTGTGAAAAGACCTGCCCCTCCACTTTAAAAAAAAAAAATGCACATGCACAACTCTGTACCCACTCCCAAGAGCAAACGTCTGTTGAAACATGTGCGAGAGCGTGCACAAGCCCATTTCTCCTCGTGCACGCTCTGTTTAAAAGTCGCTGTTTGCATCGTTCATACAAGCTTCCTTTCCAAAAAACGTTTGCGATCTTTCCACTTTGTCAGACTCTCCACCGATAAGTGAAAATGGGGATCAGTACGCAGGACGGCCTTAGGTAAACATTTACCAGAATGACTGACAATTAGAGGACCACTTATTTTGATGATCCACCCAGAAAAAGAACATCCTCCACTATACCTTTAAGTTTCATGTAGTAGTGCGGTCTTGTAAAGCCATCTGCTAAATTTAGTGTCATCCAGCCATTTGGGGTTATGTTCATATTTAGTATTGCATCTTCTAGAGAGATGCTCTGACAATGTGCTAGCAACAATGCTAGATGGCTGTGCCTCATCTAGGCTAATTTGAATAAGCTCAACTCAGTCACAGTGTAGTTTGCAATAAGTTAAGTAAGTGAACTTTGTGTCACTTCCATGTCTTAAAAAGAAGAAAGATCCAAACCTTTGTGTGACATGTCCCGTTATTTGAGGAAGTTAGTATTAATTGGTAGAGAAAAGGCAGTAGCTGTTGGGGTTTGAATAATAAAAAATAAAAAAAAAACATGTTTTGAACAAAATGTGTGGCAATTGCTATTTCAATCAGGCTTGAAATACATTGGGCATAACCTCACAAGTTCTTACTCCAATTAGTTAAGTTTTTTCAGACACAATACAGAACCAAGTCACATTGTGTCTACACCTACATTATTGTTACTTAAAGACTGAGGCTTAGGCGGAAGCAAAAGCTTATGAATGCCTTCTTCATACAAAATTAGGCTATACTTCACTTAACAACAATAAATGGTTCAGGAACATTACAAGAAAATATACCTCACTTACAAAGATTATTTTGAAATATAGGTTTCAATTTTTTCTTCCTAACTGCATTTTAAAGTTTTAAGTTACTTATTTCTTGACTAGTCATGTTCCTCCAAAAGATGATGCTGTTTTGCTATGTATTTATTTTTGTCAAATATGCACATATGAGGTCATGGAAGGGGAATGGAGGTAGAGAGGTGTCATCTTTTTTTTTTTGTCTACATGCAGTTTTTGCTAGATTAACCTATTGGTGAATTTAGATTAGGTTGATAAGGTTAGGGATTGGTACTAGTAAAATTTATTATAGAGCTTTCACCTTAGTTTTGAACGGAATAAAGATTTAACTTGTAGAGATTTTTTTTGGGGGGGGGCGGCAGGGGTTGGTTTCTTTTTAATGCCAGCTACTGATCTGAAGGTGTTGTGCAATTATTTGACCTACTTCCCCGTATGACATCAGTTTGTATATAACTAATCCTGAGACCTTCTGTGAAAAAGGAGCTGAGAATGCCGTTTGTTCACTGATATGCTCTTAGAAATCTATTTGTTATCATGAAACAACTGTACTCACTCAGACTTGATGTACTAATCAGGTCACTTTTAAAGGGATTTATTAATACTTGAATTTTTTTAGGGGTATCACTGTAAAGTAGGCTGAACAGAAATACACCCCACACTCTTCAACAGTTGTGAAACTTTTTCCCACATAGTTGTCAGTTACTGTCTTTATCTACCACAATCACTTCAAATAAACACAAACGGATTTGTAATCAAGATGACAAAATGAGTCCTAATTTCTTCTTATTTACACTTGTGTATACAAAATGACAAAAATAAATCTGTCTAAGGTGTATGTAGCAATATAGCACTATAAGTTGTGTTTTTACACTTTATGGCACAGTCATGGCGTTTCCTCAGTGAGAGATGTGTCCTTGAGGAAAATCTAACCTTTCCCTTTCTCTTCGCAGTGTAAAGATTTCTTCAGAGCCGGTCGAGGGATTTATGAGGACTTGCGTCGCAGACTGCCTTTCTACCCTTCTGACTTCACAGACGGTAAGCTGGACCTGGACTTGTAGAGAAAGTGAATCATTTTTGTTGTTATGCCCCAGCGGGGTGTTGCTGGCAGCTCCTCATTTATCTTTCACTCTCTGCCACACGTACGGTCAGAGTAAAAAGGAAGTATGACATATTTTTAACACTTGGGTTTTACATATCTATGTGTCAAACCTTATTTCTTTTTTTTTTTTAAATAAGAATCAAAATCGATTCACTTTTTTAGGTACATATGTATGCTATATATGGTTTTGTGTCATAAAAGGAATATCTCCCAGCCCCTATATGCGTCCTTATGTTCAACAGTAATTACCCAGGTCATCAACCACAAGCATTTCCCTACACATTGCTAGTGCGGTCGCTAAAGGCTGCATCTTTTATTGAGTCGTCAACTCAGACTCTTTATCTGCTGTATGGGAAAACGGTTCCTGTCCAGCTTATTCACACATGCTGAACATATTAGCCACAAAAACCACGACAGCCCTTTATCTTTTCGTAGTCTCTAAATGCATTTAATTATTCCACTGTAACAAAGTCAAGATATATCTGACATGTGATTTTCATCAAATATTCATCATCTTATGAAGGTCACAGGAATCATTGATCATATTAGAGTCCAATGAAAATGCTCTAATCCAACACCAGTTATTCATCTTTTAGATAACTGTTCTTAAAAAGTGATGCATTACTAACAACTAAAACAAATTGCTCCTGTTTTCAAAGGGGAATTTAGTTGTGTGAGCCACAGTAGAGCAGTTTAACCCACACATAGGAGGTTTCTGAGTGCAGAGAAAACTAAATAATGAATTCTTGTAATGTTTTTGTCGTTTTTAAATTAAAGGGCCGAGCCTCCTCCGCTTCATTATGAGATGCATATGACTCATGTGTTTGTGTTTCTCTCCCTTCAGGTATAGTTGGAAGTAATAAAACCCTGCTGAAGTACATGACCACAGCCATCTTCCTCTACATTGCCATCCTCCTCCCTGCTATCGCTTTCGGCTCCCTCAATGATGAGAGTACCCGTGGCGAAATCAGTATGAGCACACAGTCAGGATTCACATACCCATGACCTCAAAGATAGACTGAGAAAATGAAGTTCCTTTTTTTGTTAAACTGTTTTTTCTCCTATAACCATGGAATCTGTGACTTTACTAATATGATTTATATAGGTTTTTTTGTGTGTGTTTGTTCTATTATTCTGTTCATAGTATCTGTGATTCTGAAAGCAACATTCCAATTCTGAAACCATCTTTCACCACATGGTTTCTATTTAGCTACTAACAGTGACATGTTTATTACAGCAGCAGAAACAAAAGCTAAAAAGGTCAAAGAGTATCATAACCTGGTAATAATCCATAGCAATGCACGGGTGCATTAAGCATGTGCACACCACATATAATATAGTGCACAGGTCAATAAAAAATAATGACCAGATGTCAAAAGTATTTCTTTTTTTTTTATTCAAAAATTAGATTTTTGCTTCTTAATGCAAATGTTTTATTAGTTTGCAGATTTAAAGCTGCTTTACACACATTTTACATATAAAGCCTGCATTACTCATTCTTTTAAAATGGGATTGTGTTGTTTTTCTTTTTATTTTGTTTTTTTTCAAACAGTTGTTTATCATTGTGGGAAGAACATGCAGCAAGTATTTCGAGTGATTTTGTGGGTAAAAATAAAAGATAATTGCCTAATAACATTCCCTGTGTAGAAAGTGAATTACAAGGTTCCTTCTGCTTCTGCTCAACTGTGCAAAAGAACCTTACAGGCTTTCATGCATATTAATCAGGACCTTTCCTTGTGGTGTTGTGTGCATGTCTCTTCTCTGCCCAGATGTTCGGAAGACTATCATTGGCCAGAGCATCGGTGGAGTCATCTACTCATTATTTGCTGGCTCCCCTTTAGTTATCCCTCTCACCACTGCTCCCCTCGCCATCTTTATCAGTGGTAAGTTTTCCTTCTTTCCATTAGCTTGCCTCAACCACAAAGCACTTATCTCTCACAGTTTTAGACAGCGGCAAGTCAGAAAACTATGCATCCAGCCTTAAGGGATTGTGTTAAAACTTCTCTCATGCTGATCTTATTCCTTTTCTAACAAAAACTCATCACTGTTCTAATGGGAAAACACGTTCATACCCAAAACCATGTTCATATACTGTTAATGAGTTTCCCATGTGTAGTTGAGACAAAAATAGATGGGTAAAATAAGATTTAAACATGTTTTTCTTATTCTATGTTAAGCCAGTGGTTTATTACATTATATTCCCATCAGATGTAAAAGCCAGGTTATCCACACATACTGTGCAATCAAACTGAAATTGCTCAATAAAATTAAGTCGTGAGAAAACTCAGAATTCCAGAACATTTTCAGTTAAATACTAGGCAGGCGGTTAGAGCAGTTTTATCTTGTTTTTTTCTGAAGTGAATTAAGGGTTTTCTTGTCTCTGTCTTTGGGACTATTGTTGTACCTAAAAATCCAAACCCTTTTCATCTTGAGTCATTTGAAGTTGACCAGTCAGTTATAAGACAGCCCACACCATGTAGTCACCACCTGTTAACTTCACCTTTGGCATAATATTTTAATGATGATGTGCAGGGGGGTAATCTAATGTCACTCCTCAGATGTGAATGTTATTCACTCCACTGAAAGTTATTCTCTCTTTATATTACTGTTTTTTCCAAATCTTCTACAGCAAACTAAATGTATACATGGCTATTTGAACATGTTGGACTAAAAATGTTCTAATTGTCATATTTACTTAAAAATTACTACGTATTTGGGATACATAAAAAATCTTAAAGGTATAGTAGAGGATTTTCTTTTTCCAGGTGGATCATCAAAATAAGTGGTCCTTCTAATTGTCAATCATGCTGGTGAAATGTTTAAGTAAGGCCCTCCATGTGCTCGTCCCTATTTTTACTTACCAGTGGTGAGTCTGGCATAGTGGAAAAATTGCAAATGTTCTTTTGCAAAGTAAGCTCGTATGAGTGACGCAAACAGCAGCTTTTAAACAGAGCGTGCCCAAGGAGAAATGGGATTGTTCATGCTCTTGAGCGTGTTTAATAGGCATCCCTCTCGGGAGAGGATACAGGGTTGTGCATGTGCATGTTTTTTTTTTTTTTTTGTTCTTTTTTTTAGTTGGAGAGGGCTGGTCTNTCAATCAATCAATCAATCAATCAATCAATCAATCAATCAATCAATCTTTATTGTCAACTACAATTTACATTGCAATTGAAATTTCAGTGTCAGTAAAAACCATTCATCACAATACATGACATAGATTGGGGTGGGGGGGCTGAGAGAGGGAATGGATGAACAGAAGTCCATTCAGTCTCTGTTCTTCCCAAAATGGCCTCCTCTCCTAGCTCCACAGAAAGGGACAGAAAGTGGGGGTTGCAAAGCTTTTGGAGACCATAGCATTGGTACTTTTTTTTTTTTTATTATTCAAAAATTTGAAAAATCAGATATGTGATCAATGCCATCAAAATGAAATTTATGAAGTCTGGAAATTATTTTGATGTTCTTGATCAAGCGTTGCCGCAAGTTTAAGATATATATATATATATATTTTTTTTTTTTATCTCTTTGCTGGTCTACAAATTCATATTGTTCTGAGTAAACAAAAAAAGCTGCATGTTTGGTAAAGTTGCATGTTTGCAGTTGTGTTTTGTTTTGTTTTTTTATTCAAAAATACTCAATTAATTTTATTAAAAGCAAGTGTTGAGGGGCGACCTGACCGAGAACCGGGATGGCAACAGAGTGAATAACTCCGAGGACAGCGTTCGAAATTTCCTTTAAAACCCTTTTAAAAGCTATAAGTAAGGCTCAAGAGATACCACATTAATATGTCTAAAGCTTTGTCTGTAAAACAGTGCAATTTTTTTTTTAAAGAAGACTCAAGACAGCCACCAAAACAGCAATGATTCCAACTTGTCTAGCGTGATAGTATAGATGAAAGACTGACTTGAATGGCGAGTGCTATATCTGCACCGGAATCTAAAGTGTCTAAGGTAAAACAAGACCTATTAAACCAGGCGGCTCATATGGAGGAGGCCGAGGCTCACATTATCAAAGTAGAAAGCTCGCTCAAAAAAGTGGAAACATCGTGGATTTCACCTATGAAACGAATCAAAATCTGGAAAACCGAAGAAGGCGGAAGAACCTGCATGTCTTTGGCATTCGAGAAGGAGCAAAGGGAGGACAACCGCTTTTCGACTTTATCACTAACATGCTACTGAAATGGCTGGAGCTTGCACCGGATAAATCATTCACATTGGAATGGGTACACTGCACACTAGCCTCTGGGAAACCAAATCAGGGCAGAGCGGTTCTGATTCGCTTTTTGAAGTTTCATGAGGCAAGGAAAAGAGATATTGTACAATCCGGTGCAAACCATGTTTACACCGGATCCATCTGCAGAGATGGATCGGACATGGGATTGACCCGGTGACGAGGCTGTTTTTTGACATCGGTGCATTTCACGCATTCCAACATAACCTCTGCAAACTTCGGATCCTCCACAATGGAAAGATCAATCTCTTCTCAACACCTCAACAAGCTAAAATTATCTACAAGACTCTTCCAAAATAAAAACAGCAGATGCCTTTGATCAAGTGAGTCATGATAGAAAAATGGTTAGGAAACAGGTAAACTGATAAGAAATTTTATGTGGCTATTCCTGCTCCAATAGAGCTGATCAATGACCAGACCATAAGCAGGATCCAGAAGGATTGAGAGAACATCTTGTGGTCAAATGAAACAAAAAATAGAAATTTTTGGTAAAAACCCGACTCGTCATGTTTGGAGGAAGAAGAATGCAGAGTTGCATCCCAAGAACACTGTACCTACTGTGAAGCATGGGGGAGGAAACATCAGCCATTCTGCACATCAACCCCATAGAAAATTGTAGAGGGCGTTGAAAGTCAGTGTCGGCCAGCGCCAGCCCTGAAACATCACTGCTCTAGAGGTGACCAGCATGGAGGAATGGGCCAAAATACCAGCTGCAGTGTGTGCAAACCTGGTAAAGACTTACAAGAAACATTTGACCTCTGTCATTGTCCACAAAGTTTATGTTACAAAGTCCTGAGTTTAGTTATTGACCAAATACTTATTTCCCACCATAATTTACAAATAAATTATTTAAAAATCCTACAATCTGATTTCCTGGAATTTTTTTCTCATTTTGTCTCTCATAGTTGAAGTGTACCTATGATGAAAAATACAGACCTCTTTCATTATTCTAAGTAGGAGAACTTGAACAATCAGTAGCTGACTGAATACTTTTGGCCCCATTGTATTTTAGATGGTTTCCGTGGGGACAGCCAACTCTGTTGAAAATATTGAGAATGTTACCTTGCACCCAGATTGAAGTGACAATGAGTGATGACCTTGAGCCTGAAACACATCTGCTCAGAGCGTTTTTCATTGATTCCTGGCCAAAATTCTTTATATTGGAAACATTTCAATGTTTTTCTCCCTCGTGTTTTAGCAAGAGAATCTGAGTATTGGTGAGAGCAAAGATAAGCTGTATGATGAGCTGAGGAGAGGCGTCTGGTATTGAAAGATCTACATTGTGAATTTGAATCAGATATTAATCTTTTTCTGATTTTTGATCCCATAATTATTCCTTTTGAAATAAAAGCTCTTCACAGTTTTGGTAACACAATGAGAGTTTGATCCTTAAGAAACGTGAGCCCAACATGTCTGATGACAAAGACTCCACTTTAAGCGGGTGGATGCCTTTAAAGCACATTGGAATACATTAGGCAGCCTCCTCTGTGCATGACCTGCTGGATGTTGTGAAAACAAGCAGTCCTGACAGTTACTCCAACATTCAGAGGGTTCTTATCTCATCCCTTACTCTGCCTTTAAGCAGTGTTGCATGTGAAAGAGAATTTTCACATCTGAATATCATCAACAAGTACAGATCCTGTCTATTTGACTCTGGCCTTTCATCTCCAATGCAGATCCTTTTGTCTAAGTTCATAAATGCCTTTGACCTCTAAATCCATCTGATGACTTGTGGATGCAAACAGCCAAACCAGGGAAATAGTAGTCCCGCTACATCCATATCTTCTGCTGTTTCTGGGATAGAGGAAGACATTTTGAAGATAGCGAGGATGATGATGTCGACATTCTGTTCGATAGCCAGAAGCTTCAGTGCTTTCAGATAGTAACTCCTGGTGCTTAGAAAGCAGATATTTGCACATTTAGTTTTCAGAGCTTGAAATGCAGTCATGTTGTAAGAAAATGACAAGCTTTATTAATTATGCTGTCCTTTCTTTTATTTTTAGTTGAAATTTAAATCCATTTCACATTATCTCTCTATCCATCTTTGTTGCATTTGCGAGATTGTTAAGGAAAAATATGTTTAAAAATGTAAGGACCGACTGCTGCTGCCATTTTTTTTTTTTAAGTTGAACAAAGCAAATTGAAATATTGTAAACGACATTAAATTAAAATAAATTACAATCACCATTAATTCACACAACTTTTCTCTTAGAATTTTTTATTAATTTAAGTTCAAATGATAAATAAACTCTTTAACAGAATTTATGATAGGCCTCCATAATAATTTTAGTTTTTAAGGTCATCCCTAAAAATTGGTCATTTGTTTAGTTTATTTCTACCATGCATCCTTGCAATTAGACTGCTCCCATAAATTCTTCCTTATTACATTAATATTTGCTTAAGATTACACATTACTTACAAACGGATTATCTGTTTTTGCTTTTCTCCCTAATATAGAAATGTTTCATTAAACATCTAGTCGCTGCTCATGTGGCAGATATATCTAAAATTACTTTAATTACTTATAAATATAATAAAAGAATTCATCTGTATAAATGAGTAATAAGCAATAATTTACTTTTTTGTTAGAAGAACTGAAGAAAGGCCATCTGAAGAATTGAAGGTATAGATTTAAATTGAATATGGTGTGAGTCAC